TTTTTTAAAGTTATGTGAAATATTTTTTTTTTTTTTTTTTATATATTTGTATTTGCATTTTGAATGCAATTTGGCAATTAAACACATTAAATGGGTTTCGTTTTCACAGTTATTAATATATGCAATTTCAGCAATAAAAATTTTAATTTTTCTAAAAAGAAAACAAATTAGTTACGTTTAAAACATCAAAATATTATTTATACATTTGTAACTGCAGGTTAAATGCATTCATGTCCATCTGAGCTGCATTAAATTGTGTAAATACATCTAAATGCCACTTCAGATGCCGCCGATTCTGTGTTTCCACTGCTTTGCAAAGAATAATTTTGTTGATACTGATTTTATTTGTTTGGTAACAACCCAAATGTCTTATTATTGTTATTGACTTTGATTAACTGTAAGAATTTGATGCAAAATTACTTTATAAAGTGTAAAAAAAAATGCCCATAAAGGGTAAAAATCAATTTAAACTTAATGGAAAAGATTAATTTCTGTCACTGCTGTGAACTGACCACCACACGGAATATGAAGAATATCAAAATCTTTAGAAGTCAGCTGTACCTTAAGGTACCAGCACAACACACTCGGCAAAATATTGCCTGATTATCGTTATCAATAAAATCCCAAAAAATAGAGACATCATTTTTTGTCAAAATCACACACCCCTATGTCATATGCACTTGCAGACTTATGGACAGTTTGTATCTATGACTCAAAAACAACAATTAGGCAGGCAAATCCAGCCGACACAAACAATATCACAACAAGTGATATTAGTTATTATATTAAAACCTAGTAAAGTTCAGTGACCATCCAGACCAACATTTTGTATAGACACAGGTTAAAAGGTTTGGAATGATGTAGTTGATGTTGCTAATCTTGTGTAATCTTGTACAGATAGAGTGAATGTGCAGGCCACACAGAGATGATGCAATCCATACATGAAGCTGAGGTTCACTTTTGAGATGATTCGCTGACTTTTGAAAAGACAACATAAACTGTCACTCTATAACTTAGGCAATTAGTATTTTCACCAACAAAAAAAACGTTTTACATCAGTTATTTCTATCTTTTGCTGTAGTGTCAGTAGGAAATATCAGTTTACATTACTAAACATTCCTTTTGCTATTAATTGCAATAATCCAGTGAAATTTGTTTGCACAAGGAGTCTGACAATAGCCAGTGCTCCACACAGAGATCTGATCTCACCATCATCCAGTCCGTCTGGGATTACATGAAGAAACAGAAAAAACTGAGACAACTCCAAGACACTTCAAGAATCCTACCTGCAAAGCTACCTGAAAAACTATGTGCAAGTGCACCTAGGACAAAAGCTGTTTTAAATGCAAAGGGTGGTTACACAAAATGTTGATCAGATTTAGCTAACAGAAGTTAATTGATAGATAAAATCTCACTTTAAACCATTTTTACACAAGTGCCTAAAACTTTTCACAGTGCTGTAGTTAATGGCAAAATGAATGTTTGGTAATGTAAACTAATGATTCCTACTGACAAACTATCAAATATCTGACTTAAAACCATTTTTGTTGGTGAAAATACTAGTGGCCTAAGACTTTTGCACAGTAGTGTATATCACACTAAAACTATATAGAGAAGGTATATCACACACAACGGAAAAACTGAAAATGTATAATTTTACACATTGAAAGTGTACTTGATTCAATGTAAAATAAATGATAAGTAAAACATAAGGTTTACTATAAGTACACTATCTGCAGGTTGAACTCCCTGTATAACATTTAACTGTTTGTCTGAGCACTAGTCAACATTGACATTGACAGAGGGAGACCTGCTTGACATTTGTGCGATGACACAGTAATGGCCCAGAAATTACCCAGCAGTTTTAATAAACTAGTGAAGACTACTGGAATAGTATCCTACCTGCAGTGCCCCCAAAAGCATGGCAGTGTATTACGAATCATTTAGCCAATGACATATCATGCAATAATTTTTTACAGCTAAACCCTGCAGTCTATATCTGTAGCTAGTTGGCAGCTAGCCAACTAGCTACAATAAAGTTTCCTTTGTATCATCACCTGAGTCATACATCTACAACAGTTCTGTTTGCCAAAGGAAAAGAAGGGTACGAGAGAAAGAGAGAGGGTGAGAGAGATGCTATAAAGTTATCACTTGCTTTAAACCAAACTTTTTCACACACACACACACACACACACACACACACACACACACACACACACACATCCATCTCTTCTTCAACTATGATAAACAAATGAGTCATCTAGGGCTTGCTGAGAACACTGACTCACTAACACTTCATTCTCTCACACACCCTTGCAGCAACACACACTCAGCAGCTCCTAAACAAAGTGGATATAAAAAAATAAAAAAAAAAACATTCAGGGCAAAGGAGTTAGAGAATGCAACAGGAAGGAGATGCCAAGAGGAGGGGGTCCATTACAATAAAGTTGTGTTTTGTACACACTTAAAGGGATAGTTCACCCAAAAATGTAATTTTCTGTCATCATTTAGCCTACTCATCGATTCATTCCAAACCTCTAAGAATTACTTTCTTATTTATTTTTGACTGATTGCACAGACACTATTGGAAGAGAGCTGAACTGGATGATGACATCACTGAATCAATTAACTTACTTTAGCTGGAAAAATGACTCCGTTATTGTCTTCTTGCATCATTGACAACCTATTTTCCTCTTTAACACTGTAAAGCTGCTTTGACAACCAGTATTGTATAAAGCGCTATAAAAATAAAGGTGACTTGACTTTCTTCCAACTACACAAAACAAGATATTTTAAAAAATGTTGCAACTGTTTTTGCCCATACAATTAAAGTCAACAGGGTGCAAACAACGTTGGACTTTTATTGCATAGACAAAAAAAAAAACAACACATTGAGACATTTCATTTTATCGTAACTATATTTTGTTACACAGAAGAAAGTCAGTCATACAGGTTTGGAACGACAAGTGAGTAAATGAATAAAGCAGCTAATCTTTTTAACTAGTCTGCTCTGAACTATTATTTAGAAGATAAAAAAAAATATTCTTCCAGTATGGAAATACTGGAAACTGAAACAGAGGCTGACATATTCAAGAAAAGTGTCTTTTATATCAACATATTAAACACATTTAAAATAAAGACAGACTAACTGCCAGAAAGGAAAGTTTGTTCAGAAAGAAAGAGATGATTTTAGAGAAATGATTTTAGGAGACATGACTTTCAAGAAAAACAATCATATTTAAGATTGCTCACCTTTAGACGCCGATGTAAGACCCTCAGGTTTAATTAAATCTATGCTGACATAGGCACCATTCTCTGGGGGAGGAACGCTGGAGGATGACAAGGCAAGCGCATCATGACAGTTTCCAGGCTGGAGATCGTCTCTCAGGCCTAGGGCGATGTAGTTCAGGCCATTCTGGTGTTCCACAGGTAGAGTCCTTGCAGACCTCACAGAGGGGGAATCGGCTCTATCCGAGGAGTTTCCATGTGCACCCTCACTGCCGAATCTCACGCCGTCAGTCCAAACACAGTCAAAGTTCTGACGATTGCTGCAGCCCACCTGGTGAGCCCCACTATTGCTAGGCACGGTGCCATTGGAGTCCGTGCCACTTCCACCTGACGCTCCTGATGATGTGACAAAGGTCTCCGAGCTGTGTCTCCGCCTGCCCTGGGGATCAGCACGGACAACCTTAGGCTCAGTCGGAGGGCTGAAGGGGAAAAACTGTTGCTCCAGAACACACAGGTGCTCAAGCATGGCTGTAGGGCTCTTGGACTCCTCCTCAGGCCCAAAAGACATTTCCGTGTAGTCGTCAGGCTTACCCACCGTGAGCCCACTGCTGTGGGAGGATGAGGGCCGGATATATGAAGGAGGATTCCAGGGGGCCACCAGGGAGGGCCGTGGGGACCGACTCTTTGGTGGAAGACCATCCACCTCGACAGTCATGTAATCCTGTGGCAGCGGGGACTTGCGCTGCTCCCGGTTAATACTAAGGGTTGAGGGGGAGCAGGGAGAATATGTGGGCCGATACCCAAATTCAATATTGATGTATTCTCCAGGGCTGGAAGGGCGCACTGCCACTTCTCCTGCTCGCAGAGAGCTGTGCAAACTTCGCCTTCCCAGGGGCAGGCGGTTCGGCCGTACAGCACGGCGATCCGTGAAGCCATTATGTTGAGAGGACTCAGAAGGTGGGCACCTGCTACTGCGATCTGGGGTGGCTGTGGGTGAAATGTAGACTGGTTTTGCTGGGGAACTCATTGGGACATAATCATCATGCTCTCCCTGGTCTCTGGATGGAGCCTTGTATGAGCGAGGGAGGGAGAAATAGGGACTGTAGGATTTGGGGACACCAGGAGTGGTCAAGGCATAATAATTCTCAGCGGAAACCTTTTGAGCATTAGATGTGGAGCTGCTCTGAGACATATCCATGTATTCTGCATTCTCAAGGCGGTCTGAGGCTCTTCTCCCCTCTGCTCGTCTGCTAATGTCAGGGCTGGATGGGACGGGAGAGTCAGTAGCCCCACTTCTACCTGGGAGCATCATCATATAGCCTTGAGAGTCCATGTGCTGGGGAACATGTAAAGCAGCACTTTGGACTTGTGCAGAGGCAGAGAGGAGGATATTTGGTTGCATAGGCATGTAGTCTGCATCACTAGCGGAGGGCAGCACACCTACCATCATGGGCATGTACCCATCATCTTTAGGCCCGTCTGCAGGCCGTAGGCTAGGGGCCCGGTCCTGGCTGTGTTCAGAACTGGAGCTGTAGTCAGAGCAGAGGGAGGAGGAGGTAGAGACAGTTTGGACACTGCCACCCCAAGAGCTACTCTCAGCCACAGCCTCGTCCAGCGAGAAGGTGGTCTGGGTCATTTTCTGATAAACAGCGACTCCAGCAGCACTAGCGCCCCCAACCTGCCTGGAGAAGGAGGGTGTCCGCCTCCTTAAAGACCCCGTTCGTGAATCTTCATCTGCACTCTCATCTTTGATCGCCTCAGCTGCACTTGTTCCAAACACATCGCGATTCCAGCCCATAGCCATGTAGTCATTGAGGCAGTGCTCCTCACGGATCGGTGGTGTGTTTCCCAGGGAGTCAGGGGTGTTGCTGCGTACTCTGAAGTACCGGAAGTCTCCGGGGCTGGAGCCATACTCATCAGACGAGTTGAATCCTCCATCACTCGGGGATCCACAAATGGACGCGCTGGAGGGGCGAGTGATAGTGTCTGACACAGAGCCATGCCCGCTGCTACTGGACATGCTGATGGGACTGGTGGTAGAAGGAAAGTGTGACACTGGCAGCGAGGCAGAACGGGCATGATAAGTGGAGCATGGTGGGGCACGAATATAGCGGGCCCCAGCCCCACTGCTACTTTCCTGTCGGCTCAGGTTAGCACGGGCTGTGTTGAGATGAATAAGGCTACCTGTCACAGAGCGAAAGGGGCGGTTCATCGTGCTTTCTCCCTCACTTGAGGTGCGGAATCGATACCCACTTGCTCCACTGCTCTTCCTGCTGGGTGGAGTGCCCACCACAGACTCGGTCCGAGACCGCCGCTGGAGCCCTGTCTGGCTGGGTGGGAGGTTGCCCAAGTGTCGCCGTGTGGTGATGAAACCCATCGGGTTGGTGCCAGAAGACTGGCTTTTGCTTCTGGGCCTGAACTCGGCAAATGCCTTCAGTGCCTTCATGGTCTCTAGAATGGTCTCGTGCATGTTCTGAGCCACCACAGAATCATCCACCTGCATCCAAACCTCCCCAGGTCCTATAGAAGAAGACCGGCCAACCTCAATGAAAAAGAAGCTCTCTGAATGGCCGCAGCGTCTAATGTTCATCAGCTGCAAGTTCACGCAAGGTGTCTCAGAGTTCAGCTTCACCAGGTGAATGCTCTTGGCAGACAGACAGAGCCTATACACGCCGATTAGATTCTTCGTCTGGCCCAAACCCTTTGGTTTAACATTTACCTGCCACACTTCCTTAAAGTCAGTCCCAGGGGTCACAGTACCATATCCATCGTCAATCTCATCCGCGTCCAGGTGGCCTCTCTTCCCCTCACTCATGAGCTCACTGAGCGCCTGGTACCACTCCTCCTGCTCCTGCTCATTCTCAGCAACAATCGCAAAGTATTCATCCTTAGTATACAAAGCAATGAGATGTTTATTCTTAGAATCTGCCCTTTTATTCACCGTGAAACATTGGTAGAGATAGATCACTCTTTTGGGGTGAGAGGCACCAGCTGATGCGGCGGCGGCGCTCGAGCGCAGAGTGTTTCGACATTTCTTCTCACTGTCATAATATTCCAGTCTGCTCGGCCCCAGATGACTCGACGCCCGCAAGACGAAAAACCTCTTATGGCCGTGTTTCTGCTTTCTCAGATAGCCACACTTCCTAATGTCGTCCGACACGGCGGAACTGGTGTTCACAGCAGGGGAAGCTGAAGTAGTGTGTGTGTTACTCGCAGCAGAGTCCTCGAGCGCCCGGTTAAGAGAGGACGCGGATCCTTTCGTCGCCGGCGATTCCAGGTGCTGCTGCTGCTGTTCACTTGGTTGATGAAAAGCAGCGCTGCCGACATCAAGTACGGAAGGGGGTTCCCCGACAGAAGTGTCGCCGTTCGTCGTTGCAGCTGCAGGATTAGTCCCGACAGCCCGCTGTTGCGATTCCAGCATCAACATTGCGGCTTTGCCTTCTTGGTAGTTCTCGAAATTTGCCATTAGATAAGAGATTTAAGGTCACTTTACCTCAGGCTTATAGACTGAGACCCCATGTTTGTTTGGGGGGAACGGTGTCTCAGGCGGCGCACTTAAGCCTTTTCAGTGTTGAGTTTCTCTCGGCCGCCACATGAAAAGCAGGTATCCCAGCCAATGCTCCTCGAACTCAATGCCAGCAACTGCAACATGACCACATTTACCCGGTCTATTATCGGTAGATCCTCCTAGCGGGCTACCAATCTGCTGCTTACTACGGAGCGCACACAAACACACATGACTCGTGCGTCATTCGCCTGTGGGTGGGAGGAGGCGCCCGATTGAGCGAAACGTGTGATTGAAAGCTGCTGCGACCAATCACGATGGATCTTTTCGGAACTACGTGAATGGGACTGACCAATGGTTTCACTCGGCGTTTCACTGAACTTGCAAGGTGACGTCTGATGATTGATAGGGTTTTGTCCAATGACATTCTGTAAAGCAAGTTGCGTCATAGGGTGTCTAGCGTTCATTGGCTGTAGCGTTTGACTGAAGATTCATCCGTCCTATCACAGACGTTTTAGCTCAGTGTTGTTTGTTCCTTTTGGGATGTATATCACTTGCAAGTTTTCTATGTACAGTCAGGAGCCGATTGCTCCCAATTAGCTTTGTTATATGTTTGCCAAACATCAGTGAATACATCCTTTTATCGCATTAATCCGATTATTATTATTGTAGTTTGCCGGTGATTGGTATTTTAACAGAAGTAGTCCGGGGATTTGTAAAGTACTAACTTGCTAGCCACTCGTGTTACAGCAACTTACCTACAGTCTGAACTGCTGGCAATCGAGTTGGTGTTTTGTAAGTGTGTGTTGAGAGAATGTCCTTGTAAATTTATATTGCTTATATATTGTGAGTTTGGGCTCACAATATATAGCATCGTGCGTATCAAAAATCAAAACTCTGAAAAACAGAAGCAGAGGAATTAATAGCATCCATAACTGTCCCATAACTGAATATTAATGCCTAATCATCAAGATGTTTTAGTGTAAATGACGTTGAATTCATGGTCTAACTTTCAACTAGCCTTTATAATTTGCTATCAAATTATGTCCAGTTACAATTATAAATTATAATAAATAAATAATTATTAGAAAAGGCATGCAGCTTGTGTCTCTGAGCTTTTTTACAAAGAAAAAAAACCACGTGCATATGACATGCATTGTAGATAATGCAAGCTACTCTGGTAAACATTTCACACTGACTCTGACCTGCTAAGTCATTATTGTGAAATAATTACTGTGTTCACTCATTTGCAACTAAAGTCATTCAACTGAAATGTGTTTTGGTGAAATTGATGAGAGGATCCATTTTTAATGTTTGTTTAATTGATGGAAAGTTGGCATATCTGTAGCTGGGAGTTCAAGGTAGTTCAGAGTCTGAATATTATTAGAGTTTAACTTTCATAAGGTAAAGCTTTCATTAGTTTTCTTTTCCAGTGTGTACTTTGTGTCACTGATTTCCTCTACAGAGACACTGATGCCTTTAATGCTCCCTGACAGCATGACTGTTCTGTAATATCAACATGTATTATTGAAAATCTGAATTACATAGAAAACAACAGCCAACCTAAGTTAACCCTTTTCAAAAGATTGACCACCTTTGAACGCCTAGAGACAAGGCAGTTACACTGAGAAGGAAAATAAATAGCTCATACTTATTAAAAATCACTGTATATAATTTGTATGTATTGGTGGGTGATCTTGCTGAGAGTTGATGAACAGGTTTTGAGAGAAGGTAATCTGGTTAGGGGTGATCTGGTGGCTCTGCAGTCTTATAGTCAGTACTAGATAATCCACATAGGGCATGATAATGTTGGTCGCCATCTGCTGCGTTTACTGACACAACAAGAGGGCACTGTTTTACAGTATTTCTAAATTTTGGGTTAGTAAGATTTATTTAGCAAGTATGCATTAAATTGATCAAAAATTACATTAAAGACTTTTACATTGTTACAGAAGATTTCAAATAAAAATCTAAAAATAAAAGCTGATCTTTTGAACTTTTTATTTATCAAGGAATACTGGAAAAATGTATCATGGTTTCCACAAAAATCTTATTGACCCCATACTATATATATATATATATATATAGACACATCATAGTTTACTGTCTTTACTAAAACTAATTCTGGTTCTACAACCACATAATACGTTCACACATTGCAAATATGCATTTTAATGCATATTTTGATATTCTTTGTCACCTGGGTTTTCATGATAATCTTATTATGGATTATACTAATTGATCATGTATGAGGAAAACAGTTTTTACTCAAAAAGAAAAAAAAATCTACTAAAATCCCATGGTAAACCTGAACTTAAATCTAAATCTAAATTTATAAATCATCATATGCACCATATTAACACTGCATATTAATCCTGGTTGCACAAAAGTGTGGGTTTCTAGTTTATCGCAATACTATATTTACTATTTTCTTTAGTCACAGACAAGATTACTAAAAGGGATAATCTGCAAGTGAATGATATGTGTATGTGTTGAGTCTTTGAGCTGGACCTGATGCCCCTCGTGCTGAGTAATGGATTCCCAAAGGGTAAATTTAGCTCCTTGTGAGACTTTGGTATTTCATAAAGGTGCTTCATGTGGAGAATAGAGATATGTGGCTTCTCAGACAGCTGTACATGTTTATGATGAGCATGATGAGTGAGCTGGACCAACAAGGCTCCAAATGAGAAGCTTATGAGAAACTGAACTGCCATGTAGTTTCAGTATGGTTTGATAAAATGATAGCTTCTTCATTGTGAATCTTCTACTAAAAAGTCTGAATTTCTACAACAAAGAGATGTTCGTGTGCAGTAAACTGTGCACTCAAGCTTGCCCATTCAGGTGCTTTTAAAAGAAAAACAGGCTGAGAACAAGCAAGAACAAAGTTTTGGTACTCTTTTAGCTTGTTCTCTGTTTCTCCACATTCCATTTCATTCTGTGTGCAGGTGTGGGACCAAAAAGGCAAAGGTTAAAGGTCATCAGTGATGGTGGATCATGACATTGCCCTCATCGGATAGGGTGAGCTGAGCCACAGTGGAGATCTTCCTCACTGCCTTCTTAAGCATCACCTTAAAATCTTTTGATTCGTGTCTGCAAGACAGAAAAACAAAGAAGGAACATCAGCCTTAGTTTGTCTACTCTAATACATCAACATATGACATCACATGTTTTTCACTTGTCTGTCAAATACTTTTTTCCAAAAAACTACAGAAAGTATTTTTAGGAATACATTAATACCAACTTCATTCAACTGTTATATATAATTTGTTTTGGATTAAAAAAAAACATTTACATTATGTCACTTGGAAAAGCAAAACTTCCCAGATCTTCAAATTCAAAAAATGTTTCATATGGGTCCCTCAGTTGTCCTCAGTGTGAAAAGATGGATTTCAAAATCATATAGTCAGTATTGGAAAGGGTTCAAATGTGCAAAAGATGCTGGAAAATTACATGGATTTGTAAGATCTCTCTTATTTTGGTAAAATAAATAACATTATGCAGTAAAATATATGTGTGTGTGTTGTTTGTGTGTATATATATATATATATATATATAGTTTGTTTTGGTCTATGTTAAGACATGACATGTGAAACACTGAGAACAAACAAGACATTCAGAGCATGACAGAACACACAAACAGAAACATAACAGCATGCCAAACATAGATGACGGTCCATTTTGAAAAGCTGGCTATCCATATATGAGGAGTGCCATCCAATCTGAAAGGAGAGAGCTTTTATAACCACTATCTTAAGCAAGTCACACATCTTCAAGACCAAAAATATCTGAGGTTGTACAAAGTTACCATAAATGATGACATCACCAAATCATGCACACATACATTTTGTTTTAAGGGTTACTTTGGTAAACAGTCTATTACATTAACGTAAACTTTACAGTAAAAAACTTCATGTACAAATGTATAAACTGACAATTGCAGAAATGACCACAACAGGAATAAAAAATAAACTGTCTAGAAAGATAAAACAGTAGGATAATGTAGTATCACCTGGGAAACATTACTTGAAAGTAGAAGAACTGAGTCTTGTTTATGGTTGGAGAATGAAACCCAACCAAAATGGGAAAAAATTGGCAACAGCTTCCCACACTGACTCTTCCTGCCATCCTCCCCACCTCCCTCGACTCTCTGTGCCACATTGAGTAATGTTATACATTCTCCATGCATAACATTACCTCAGTTTTTCTTCTTTGCAAGCTGTGCTTCTGCTTTCCGCTTCCTGTATGCAGCTATCTCCTCCATCTGCAAGCCATGAGCCATTTGCCTGAAAAATACATTGGAGAAGATAAACACAAGACACACACACACTGCAGGACACAGGCCGCGGAAAGGCCTCCCCTTACCCTGACTTGAGAACGGGTGGCACAGGGAGCGGTTTGGTGAAGCCATCTCTCCCGGTGAGCCAGTAGGTTTCTTCTATACCTTTGCCCTGTGGAGAAGAGAGGATGAGAGGACAGAGCAAATAGCGTTCTTTCTAGTCTATCTAAACCCATGAACTTAATTATTCAAGAATTATTTTGCATTGTTGATCTTACCACTCATTGGATATTTTACCTACTCATTGGTAAGTAAAACAGCTTAATTTGGGAAAAAAAGTAGTAAGAGTATATTTTACTGCATTTGGAGGCAAACCTTACTATCACTATTAGTTACTGGCACATTTTACCTCCAAATGTTTCACACATTATACCCTACAGCTGCCATTTTGGGAAAAATACATAATTGAATTAATGCATGATCTTTAACTACATTATTTAGATGATTTTACCACCACTGCACCAACATATACAGCACAGCAAATAATGCTCCATAATATACACTACCATTCAAAAGTTTTGGGTTGGTAAGATTTTTAAAAAGAAATTTTGTCTCTTATACTCACTAAGGCCACATTTATTTGATTAAGAGTACAGTAAAAACAGTAATATTGTGAAATATTATTACAATTTAAAATAACTGTTTTCTATTTGAATATATTTTAAAAAGTCATTTATTCTTGTGATGACAAAGATCAATGAATTTTCAGCAGCCTTTGCTCCAGTCTTCAGCGTCACATGATCCTTTAAAGGAGACATAGTATGCCCCTTTTTACAATATGTAATATAAGTCTCAGGTGTCCCCAGAATGTGTCTGTGAAGTTTCAGCTCAAAATACCACACAGATCATTTATTATATTATTTTGAAAATGACTCTT